TACTGAACTTGTTCCTAAATAGTGTCTATATTTGTGGTTATTGTGAATGGGACTTCTTACTTGATTTCTCTTGGTGATATCATCATTAATATATAAGGAATCTACTGTTTTACTTTTTGTAAGTTGATTTTATAATTTGGAAATACTAAATTGACTTATCAATTTAAAGGCTTTTTTGGTACTTTTTAGGGTTTTCAATGATTAACATCATGTCTTTGCACGCATGTATTTTTTACTTCCTCCTTTTCAAGGCTAAAAATCTTTCTTCATTCTAATTGCTCTTTTTAATATGTCCATATGATATTGAATAGGAATGGTCAAATCGAATATCCTTTCTTGTCCCGTACTTGTGGGGAAATAATTTCAGTATGTTACTCAGAAGTCCTTGGTCAGCGTGATTTTCACCGCTGGTTTGTAATATAGCCATTATTAATTTTGAGATGTATTTCATCTATACCTAAATTGTGGAGTGCTTTTATCATGACTAAATGTGGAATCTTATGAACTTATTTCTTTGCATCTTTTGAGATGAGCAAATGGTTTTTATTCTCTGTCTTGATGTGAACTGTGATATGTATTTGTTTTTGAATGTTGAACAGTCTTCGCATCTATAGGATAAATCCCACCTGAATGTGATATCTGATGTTTTGATTTACTTCAGGATTCTGTTTGCTAGTATTTGTAAGAATTATTGCATGTATGTTCTTTGTTTTAATTTTTGCATCAGGCTGTTGCTGGCATTATGTTTAGCAGAATATCATCCTGCTCAATATTTTAGAATTGCTTTGACATTAATGCATTTAATTGTTCTTTAAGTGTTTTGTAGACTGCAGTGGTCAAAATATCTATTCCTGGAATTTTGCTTGATAGCAGACTTTTAATACCATTTCATTCTCATTGTTTTGTATGAGTCCATTTATATTTTCTACACATTTCTTATTGAATCTTGGTAGGTTTCATGTGTACAGGAATTTTTACATTTGTTAAATGGTTTACCAGTTTTACGGGGTAGTTTGTGATGACATTTTGTGATCTTGTGTATTTACCTTGTTCTGATTGTAATGTCTTGTTTTAACCTATAATTTTATTTATTTGAGATGTTTTATTTTAATTTTTAGTCTTGTTAAAGGTTGTCTTCTCAAACAACAGCATTTGCCATCTTTTTAATAGTTTCTATTTCATTTATTTTTTTTGTGATCTTTACAATTTCTCACTGATGTTTGACTTACCCTTGTTTTTCTAAGCCTTTGAGATGCATCATTGCATCTCTTATTTGAGACATTTTTTCTTTCTATAATGTAAATTTTTAATGCTATCAAGTTTCTTTAAGGCTGTTTTTGCTCTATCCCACAGGTTTGGCTATTTTTTGTTTTCATTTTCACTTAATGCAAGAAATATATTGGTTTCCTTTATGGTCTTCAACATAGTCTTTAATATAGTCCTTCAATAGCATGTTGTTTAATCTCCATGTATTTGTGAATGTTCTATTGTTTTTGTTGATTTCCACTTTTGTTCTTTTTATTTGGAGAAGATACATGATGTTCTTCCTTTTTTCTGAAAAAACAATGTCTTTTCAAATAAGGCATTGCTGAACTAAACTATCAATTGCTGTTCAATTTCCAATTAGTTCAGTCTCTTTTATTATGTTTTGGAAATGCTGTGAAAACCACAATCTAGGTCTGGGACATATTGAAAGATACAATATATTCTTGATTTAGTGAAGAAGCAAGCATATAGAGACTTCTCTTTTTCATTACCATACTGAGCAAAAAATATAGAATCTTGGTTAAAAAAGCAAGTATCTTCAGGTAGCATTCAAAGTTGAAATGTGGAACTTAGTTTTGTAGAGCAAGTGAAGGAAAGAATTGGCACTTGTAAAAAGAACTGAAAACTTTGATTCAGTGGCAAATTTTCATCTTACAAGCACGAGGATCCCATATGGGCAGCAGTTCATATTCTGGTTGCTCTGCTTCCATCCTGACGCCTGCTTTATGACCAGGGAAAGCAGTAGAAAATGGCCCAAGACCTTGAGATCCTGCACTCCAATGTGAGATCCAGAAGAATCCCCTGGCTTCAAATTTGGCTTAACCCTGGCAACCCCTCCCATTAGGGAGCGAACCAGTGAATGTAAAATCTTTCTCTTTGTTGCTCCTTCTCTCCATAAATCTGACCTGTCTTTCCAATAAAAATACGTAAATCTTAAAAAAAGTAAAAAAAAAAAAAGACTGAAACCATACCCTAATACTTATGTATAGAATATAGCATACCTCAATGTAAACATATCAATATTTATTAAGCCAAGACATTGTGTTGTTTATAGTTTTAATACCTGTTTTCATATTTTATCTTATAGTTTTATTAGCTATTTTCATATCTTGGATAAGATATCTAAAATTTCATGTGGTTATACATCAAAGAAATATTGATTTCCGAAACAGGATTATAATACTTTTAAATATTTTTTCTTCCTGAAGAATCATTCAAGTTGTAACCTTCTGGGTAACCTAAATGAGGACCATATCAGCAAAAAGTAACATTGAGTGTTCAAATTGTATTTATGCATTCGATTGGTGTATAATACATTTTTTAAATGGCTCAGATTTAGAAAGCAGCAGTAAATCTGAATAAAGAAAAATTTTTTGTTGTTGTTGTCTCTTACTCTCAATTTTTTGCTTTTAGAAAGCAGTTTTGGGCCCAGCGTGGTGACGCAGTGGTTAAGGTCCTCGGCTTGCATGCCGGGGATCCCATGTGGGCACTGGTTCTGTCCAGGCGGCGTCACTTCTGTTCCAGCTCTCTGCCTGTGGCCAGGGAAGGCAGTTGAGGACGGCCCAAAGCTTTGGGACCCTGCACCCACGCGGGAGACCCTGAAGAGGCTCCTGGCTTGGGACCGGCATAGCGTCGGCCGTTGTGCTCACTTGGGGAGTGAATCATCGGACGAAGATCTTCCTCTCTGTCTCTCCTCTCTGTATATCCGCTTTTCCAATAAAAAAAAAAAGAAGAAGAAAGCAGTTTTAGCTTTTTCATAAGGCTGTTAAAAATGTTAAATAGAAGGACAGACAGTGTGGCACAGCAGCTTAAGGCAACACTTGGAATGCTGGCATCACATCTTGAAGTGCTGATTTGAGTCTTGAATGCTTAATTTCCACTCCATTTCCTGCTGATTCTGGGAGGTGTCGGGGTCCCTTGGCCAGCAAGTCAAACCCAGACACTCATTGTCTTTGTGGAACCTTTATTGTAGAGATGACACAGCAAAACCAGTGCACAGTGTCCTCATGGCAGCCGCCATGCAGCTGCCGTGCAGCCACCACATCGCGAGGTGCGCAGCAGCTACATCTTGGCGAGGTGCCCTCTCTCCCTCTCTCCCATTTCTCTGGCTCCCTTATATTGGGTAACATGGCCAATCAGTGTAAAGGTCACCTCTGCACGCAGTGGGCAGGCCAATCCTCACACAGGTCACGCGCTGTCCACGCGCCATCCATGCACCCCTGGGCCAATCACAGCAAACTTCCTGAGACTTGTTTTTTCTACCACAGCAGGAAGCAGCAGTTTGGCGCCCGTCCGTCTAGGTGTGGGCTGCAGGCTCCCTACAGCTCTCCACAGGGAGGGTTGATGGGGTTAAGGCCACAGAAGTTGGCTCACATTCTTGGACCTGTGCCACTCATGCAGACAGCTATGATGGTGTCCATGGTCCTTGAATTTGAAGTGAACAAACGAATGGAAGATTTTCCCTTTATTCTGTGACTCTTATTCTTTGTCTCTTTATATTTCACATACATAAATCAATATTTAACATATTAAATAGAATGTGTAATAGTGACTATCATAATCAGTTGTGAAAATATCATGTGGTATGCATCTGTACTTCCAAATCAAAGATGAATTCCCCGTGAAACTGTTAAATATATATTCACAATAGGATGCTGGACTGCCTGCCATTGTCCATACCCAAAATGTCCAGATACACTTAAACAGCAGAATGACAGACTTAGGATTGCTTCTGAAGGACTATACTGTTGTTAACAACGTAGGGGAGATGAATGGGATAGAGGGAATTTGAGGAGAGTGTAAGGGAAATCCCAGAGCCTATCACTTGTAGCATAAAATAAAGAAAAAAATTGCCAAATGGCTTTTCTATAGGACACTAATAAACATTTCATATTGTATGTTAGAATCATGTTAAAATGCAATAAATCATAAATCTGAATAGTTTAATGATTTTTCACTTGTAACACAGATTATAATTGACATAATGTGTATCTGATGTATAATAAGTAGGAATCATGTTAGTGGATGTAATCATTTTAACCAAATAGGAATATTAACTAAAACATTGAAAAGATACAAAATGATAGCAGGTCTTAATAAATAGGGTTTTTAGTAAAATGATATACCAAATGGTGTATTTGCACTTAACTATTATCATAGAGTTTTGCTATTTATACTGGAGAATTAATTTATAGATATTGAGTTTCAAATTAATACTACTAAATAGAACAAATCAGGCTTAACAAATCTTGTAAACATGGATACTTCAGAACAGTAATTAAATTCTTTTTTAGGTTGACATTTTCTCTCCTATTTTATACTTGCATCTTTAAACTATTTTTATAGGAGATATTATTATGACTAAGGAAAGGTTAAGCATTGACTTCAAAATCAGTGATTTTTGAAGCATTTTATCCTACAATTTCCCATTAAATACTGGTCCTTTAAACAGCTCCTGCATATGTAGATATCCATCAGTTTAACTAAAATTTTTCAAAAACATTAACAGCAAATTTATTTGAGCAATTTTAATATTTTAGTATTTCAACATGTTAGTATTTTCATATTCATATCAAAATTATGTGAAATGTTGATGTAAATATATATCCCTTATTAAATATTTGCAGTGAGATCTGTAATACTTTATAACTATATTTAAACATAAGTTGATAATGATTATTGTGATGAAATGATTATTGTAAAGAAATTCTGTTATTTTTTTTTATGTTTTACAGATGCCCCCAAGTTTATATCAAACCAAACAATTTATTACTCTTGGGAAGGGAATCCAATCAATATAAGTTGTGATGTGAAATCAAACCCACCAGCTTCAGTATATTGGAGAAAAGAGAAATTAGTCTTACCAGCTAAAAACACCACTAATTTAAGGACATACAGTTCAGGAAGAAAAATGATATTGGAGGTAAGCCTTGATGTTAGCATCAACAAATTGTGTTACTTCAGAATACATTTAATGTCTATCACAGTTTCTATGTACTGTCTACCTCTCTCAATGACTGTCATCCATCTATTTGTCCAGGCTAAAGTATTTCACAGTAACTTATTTAAGGTCAATTTTATGTGTTTCAATCGTAGCCTATTAGTGATTAATATTTCACTGTTTACTTATTCAGAAATGTGAATGTAGAGCAAATACTTTTTCACAAACTGAATTACAAAAAGATAATAATTATACTTGAAAAAAGAAATTAACAATTTAACATAAGAGGGGGAACTTCAAGTTCTATTTAGTTTCTATAAATATGTGATGGTCATATTGCCAGATGTAAGTGTTGAACATTGGCTACATAATTGTTATTCAGAACAGTTTCTAACCAGATCAAAGATATATCTCCATTACCTTTTTAATCATTTTTAAATCATGATTTATTCTTTTCATCTTGTCAACTAACTGGCTTTTAAATACTATTTGAGTAGGTGATTTTCTTCTGTTAATTGCAGGTTTTGTGTGTGTGTGTGTGTGTTTACATGTATCGGTTTGCACTTTTATTTTTTTTTGAGTGCATTACAGCCCTTCAAACTGAAATGATTTCAGAACAAATGATAACCTTCAGTGTCTTATTTAGCTGAAAGCTTTAACATTTTTGTCTGTTAATTCTGTTTACAAATGTTAAAAGAAATAGATGTTCTAGAATAACAAGATACCCTTTCTGCATAAATTTAAAGCATTTTCTTTCATATTGTATTAGATCTTCTACATGTTGAATGTCAGTGTTTCAAAGATGCATTCAAGCTAAGATTTAGTTTTTTTTAAGATAGCTATTATTTTAGTATTGATTAAACTGATGCAATTTATTGTCATCCCTGGGTAGTATGTTAGTGTCCTTGGTTGACATAGTAGCTTGTCATAAGCTTTAAAGACAAGTGAAGTTTATCTTCCCAGTTCTGAAGATGGATGAGCCAAGACCAAGGTGTCAGCAGACCTGGTTTCTGGAGAAGTGGCCTTCCCTGTCTTGTACCTGGCTGTCTGCCTGGCAGGTTTTGCCACACCTGTTAGTTCCACACACCCTTTTTCAATCTATTATCATTACAAGACAAAAATCCTGCTGTAATGGGACATACACTTTAGATTCCTTTTAAGTTTAATTATGTTCATAAAGACGCTATCTTCAAACACAGGCACACTAGGAATTATATTCCAATATGTCTATTTTGTAAGGAATAGTGTTTAGTTCATTACAAGTATGTTTAAACTCATGTTTAAAACTCTCGCTTTACTTAATCAAAAACAGTTTGGGTTCCTAAGACAATTCATAATTCTCCATAGTTAATGTCAAGACATATTTTGTGAATACAATCTCCAAATATTTTATTTATGTTTTTTGTTCTCATGCTGCTTAGGCTTTTTCCTAAATATCATTCATTCCCACCCCAAGTGAAAAATAAGCCATTTTTTAACTTACTTTATTCATAGTTAGATGATTTGCATTGAGCTTGAACATATAATGCCTCTCAGCCTTTGGCTAAAATCAAGTAAGTTTAAACATATTTTTTATGAGTATTAAATTTTTCATAGATTACATTTCTAGTCTAAAGGAAAAAAAAATAGATGTTCACCATAACAGCTTGGAAATCAGAACACAAAATGCTGATAAAAGAAAAAAAATAAATACATATTACTAAATTCTTATTGGTAGAATACAAACTGAATTAGTATTGCAATAGTGATGTGAATACTACTTCTTAAAATATATTGTAAAATACAAAAAACAAATTGCCGATAAATTGATCAATAGTAGATTTTAAATTATGTTTTCAAATGTTTCTTTTTTATTAAATATATACATTCAAACTTTTATTTTAAACATTCTTTTGGCCCGGTGTGATGGCTCATTGATTGAATCCTTTCCTTGCTTGCACTGGGATCTCATACGTGAGCTGGTTCGTGTCTGGCTGAGCCACTTGCCATCAAGCTCCCACCTTATTTTCTGGGAAAGCAGCAGAGAATGACCCAAAGCCTTGGGCCCCATTGACCTAGTAGGAGACCTGGAAAAAGCTCTTGGCTCCTGGCTTCAGATCAGCTGCATTCTGGCTGTTATACTGCCATTTTGAGAGCAAACCAGCACATGGAAGAACTTTCTGTTTCTCCTCTCTGTAAATCTGTTTCTAATTAAAATATGTCAATCTTTAAAAAAAAAATAAACGAATAGTTATATAAGTACTTTGGTGCTAGCAAGTGCATTTCTTCTTTTTTTTTAAAATTTTTTGAAGGTTTATTTTTGTTGCAAAGTCAGATATATAGATAGGAAGAAAGACAGAGGAAGATCTTCTGCCTGTTGGTTCTCTCCCCACGTGGCCACAATGGCCGTAGCTGAGCTGACCTGAAGCTAGGAGCCAGAAGCCTTTTGGGACTCCTGTGCTAGTACAGGGTCTCAAGGCTTTGGGCCATTCTCTGCTACTTTCCCAGGACACAAGCAGGAAGCTGGATGAGAAATGGGGCCTCTGTGTCTCAAAGCAGCACCTATATGGTATCCTAGCATGTTCAAGGCGAGGACTTTAGCCACTAGGCTACCATGCTGGGCCCCAGTAAGTGCTTTTCTAAAGCATATTATTTAAGAAATCTGAATATATTGAGCCCAGAGTGATGCCTTAGTGGCTAAATCCTGTCTTGTAACACTGGGATCCCATATGGGCGCCAGTTCCTGTCTGAGTGTTCAACTTCCCATCCAGCTTGCTGCTTCTTTCTGGGTTGGGAAAGCAGTGGAGGATGGCAGGTGGCCTTAGAACCCTGCACCCCTATGGAAGATCTACAAGAAGCTCCTGGAATCTGGCTTAATATCAGCTCAACTCTAGACAATCCAGCTCTTGGGAAATAAACCAATATATGGGATATCTTTCTGTCTGTCCTTCTCTCCATAAATCTGATCTGCATTTCTAATAACAATAAACAATATTTTTTTAAATATCTGTCTATATTTTTGTGTGATAACTGAGCACTTAAAAGTATGAATTAAGTATGATGTCTCAACTGGCTAACCCACCACCTGTACGCTTTAGCATCCCATATGGGTGCTGGTTCACTTCTTAGCTTTTACAATTTCTATTGAGTTCATTGCTTATGGCCTAGGAAAGCAGTGGAGGAGGGCCCAAGGCTCTGGTGCCCTGTACCCCAATGGGAGATCTGAAAGAATCTCCTGGTTCCTGGCTTTGTATCAACTCAGCTCTGAACATAGTGGCCACTTGGGGAGTGAACCAATAGATGGAATATTTGTCTCCATCTCTCCTTCTGCCTGCACATCAGCTTTTCAAATAAAATAAATAATTTTAAAAGTACATGAACAAAAACTACTGTAAGTGTTTGTACTGGGCCTATTAGTATAATACTGTGTTTGCATTCTTTTTTTCTGGAAAGGTATGCAGAGTATAAAATTTTAAAAATTGTTATCATAGGTATATAGAGTGAGAAAATAGATTTTTGGCAACTCTAACAGATATATTAGCACCCCTCTTTATAGAAATATACTTTCAGCTTAAAATCTGAAGTTAAAATATAATTTACTCTATTACATGGTCTCAAAACCTAACATCATGCATTCGATTGTACTTTACCATGCATTTGCATATGAATTAATGTGTTCAATATTTGCTAAAGAAATAGCAATAATCATTTTTCTTATTTAAACATTTTCAAATCAATGCTGTGTAAATATCTTTGAGCTCATATCTTACAATTTGACACATGCAACACTTCATTGTGCTGTTTTAGTGTAAGAGCAGTATTTGACTTTAATTGTATGTGCTCTCAAGGAATATACAAAATGCACTTCAAAGAAGAAGAATTTGACAAGCTACAGTGCTGTATTCAAAATTCTATATGTGTGTGTCTGCTTCTGTGTAGTTAATCTGTGCTCTGAGATGTATTTTTTTATATCAATTAACCATTCAACTTCATAAGCGAGTTGCTTCTTAACAATAGATTTGTAAAGCTTTTCAGTGTCAATAGCTGAACTCCAAGAACAACAACAAAAATGAAGTTTGCTTTTCAAAATTGATTCCAATGAAACTGGCTATGTTTACATGATTAATCCTGGAGAAATAGGCAATAGTCACAATTCTTTGTTCTGATTATTTTGTCACTGTATTGTATTGATTTAATCGATTCCGTTCCACATTCATCCCCGTGGAATATACAAATCACTTTTTGAGATGGCAATAGAATAAGAAAGTATTTTTGTTGCTAAATGCCAAGCCCAGTTGCAGAGTTTTAGCAGAGTTAACTTAGGCTGACTGATTAAAAGCTGTGTATAAGAAAAATGAATATTTGAATCACTTAGGGGTACTTTTATAAAAGCTATTAAAACTCATGAACTATTTCTAGATGGACAGCTGCCTAGAAAATGAATGACATAGCTTTTTGTACTCTTTCGGAATTATTATCTTCAATGGACCTCAAAATTGCACTCTTAGTTAATAGCCTCCCATTACCACAAAGCCATTTTTCTGTCTTTTAAGATAGAGTTGAAATTAACAGCAACTCTTTTCATAAGCATATCCATTCTTAATAATAGCTGCCAGAATTGAAAATTATATCTATTACTAGAATCAAATCTCTTTTCTGAATTGATAGGTTAGAGACTTCTATGCATTAGAACTGCGAGGCTGTTCCCAACAGTCACCAATGGAATCTTCTCAGGTTAAATTAATTACACATTTGAAATGTGGAAAGATGGAAGCCAACTGTTTCCCACCCAGACAGGAGACTGATAGGAACTGAACAGAAATGAAGGCGATATACTGTTACTAGTTGTCAAAAAATTGTGCCGGTGGCAATATTTGCCTAAGGACAATATTTACCTAAAAAAAAATATCTTCCTGTGAAAGATTTTTTTAGCATGCTTTCTCAGTCTGCCTTACAATTTTACATTCAGAAACACAAAAATAAGAGAAGCAGCACATATTTTGAACCTTTGTTTTACTATAAAGCATTTCCACCTAAGGTTAGAACAGAAAATTTAGCTAGAAATACTTTTTGGTATAAACTCCCTATCTTAATAATCACATCTGTAATTATTTTAAAATACAGATTTGAAACTATGCACTAATTTCTGGGTTTACATATCACAGAATCTGATGATATTGCTATTCAATAGGTGCATGAACATGGTGGCAGTTTTCCACTTAATGGATGTAGCAGATATTACTGTGGTTCACTCATCTGTGTGGGCAGTTCTCTTTATAATGTTAACTGATATTTAAAATGTTTACCCTTTTGTTGGTACCAATGTGAGACCCTGATGCATACATTTATTGTATAATGAATAAGTGATAAGAGTAAACATATGTATTTCTTCCATTTTTTTTTATTTTGGAAAATCATTTGGGTTTTCTTAACTTGGCTACCATTTACATAATCAAGAAGATAACAGTTATGGTAAGGAAATGTGTAGTGAATAATTTAGCATGAACACAAATAGTTGACATACAATTGTCTATTTTAAAGATTCTGTGATGCTATTTATATCTTTTTTATTGTAATTATTTCAGATTGCACCGACATCTGAGAATGACTTTGGACGATATAATTGTACAGCTACTAACCGCATAGGAACAAGATTCCAAGAATATATTCTTGCTTTAGCTGGTAAGTTTTGTGAAATAAGAATACATATTTTTAAGCAAAAAACATTTTTTTCAAGATTTATTTTATTTTTATTGGAAAGCGGATATACAGAGAGGAGAGACAGAGAGGAAGATCTTCCATCCGATGATTCACTCCCCAAGTGAGCGCAATGGCCCATGCTATGCCAATCCGAAGCCAGGAGCCTCTTCCGGGTCTCCCACATGGGTGCAGGGTCCTAAAGCTTTGGGTGGTCCTCGTCTGCCTTCCCGGGCCACAGGCAGGGAGCTGGATGGGAAGCGGGGCTGCTGGGATTAGAACCGGCACCCATATGGGATCCTGGGCGTGCAAGGCGAGGACCTTAACACTGTGCCATCATGCTGGGCCCACAAAAAACATTTTTAAATGTTAAATTACATTATGTTATTTTAAATGTTAGCAAATAATGTCTTTTATTTTAACAATTATTACCAAATGAGAGGTTGCCTACCCATATGAGCCTCCAAATCCAATTAAGATGAAGAAGGTCAGGGTTGTTGAGATAAATGTTTCAGTTTTCCCTCCTGTATCCATGACGGGAGGGGGGGCATAAGGAAAAAATGTGCTGTATTATAATGTCACACTGTATCAATTCCCAGGGAGGAGACAATGCTTTGGGGTCTCAATAAGGGGAAGAATATTCCAAGCATTTTACTCCAGTGTTCTTGGTTGTTCTGGGATGTTGTAAGCTTTGTTACACCAGAGGTGTGAAATTCTATCTACAGGCTGTTGGCTGTCTTTGACTATGGCACTGTGCCCACAGACCTAGGTGACTTCTGAACGGCCAGGCCTAGACTGTTTGTTGCTCAAACTATTTTTGCTTCCATCTTTTGGTGAGGAACTCAAACTCTTCTATCGGTTTAGATGAGCCAACTGTCTTTTTTTTTTTTTTTTTGTATTTATCATGGTATGCTATCAATTCTTGCATGAGGGTCAAGAGCAGAGGTAGCTCAGTCCTGCAAACATGTGCTTCAGAATCAGACCACATGTCTATGTGATTATCCCCAAGTTCAGGGAGCCCCTAAGGAACATAATCTGGGGTATATTCAGACTTTGCTCTTGTGAGTGCTAGCTGGCACAGGGTCTGGTTCAGTCTTTCCTTGGAACCAGCCAACGCAAGTATCAGTGAATGCAACTGGTTGATCGGTCACATCTGTTAGCTCTTGTTCTCACACAAAACAATGTGTGCTGCAGCCTAACCCAGTGCAGCCAAGACTGCCCCTAGGCCCAGCTTTTATGTCCATCAACAAGTTTGCAATCCTGTGTTCCAGTGAACCAGCAGGCATGGAGGCATAGCTTAACCCAGCCAGCCCTCAATCCCAGTTCTTGCATTCACCAGTGGATAGTGTGACTGAACACAGCTGGCTGTAACTCCAACAGATTGTCAGGTGTGCTGGTTGTGGTCTAGTCAGGGAGCCCCCCTCTAAACCCCTGCTCTATTCATATCCAGCCTGTGCTGGCAGATGCTGCAGGCTAGCCTGGCTTAGGTTGCTCCAATATCCAGCTGTTTGCATGAACAAGTGAATGCTGGAGCCTAGCAAAGATGTCTGCAATGATCCCATAATAGATCCATTCCCAGGCCCAGCTGATGTGTCTGCTAACTTGTGCTGTGGCCTAGCCAGGAGTAGCCGGCCCCTAGCCCTCATACTTGCCAACAGGTGCTGTAACCTAATCAAGTAGAGCCCCAAGAACTCTTACCAGACCTCCCACCACCTCTGGCTCTTACACCCACAGAAAGGTGCTTTGACCAGCCCCAAGGCGGCCCTCTCAATTTCCCTTTATTATCATCCCAGTCTTATATCCCTTGATTACCTATGGATGCAGTGGCCTGATCTGTGAAGCCCCTAGAAATCATTTTTATTTATGTCAAACAAGGCTTAAGTGGCTACCATTCCAATCTGTCTGCAGTCCCCTGGCCCCTAGCAATGTACACACCACCGCATGCTCATTGGTGTGCCAGTGGAGTGACGCTGGATAGCAAGTGCCTGTGGTGTCACAGTGGGTGCTCCATACCCTTCCCTCAGATTTTTAAAGAAAAAGAATGGAATAGGCAATTATGCTTGAACACTGGTATAGTTAACAGAGTTAAAATTAACCAGTCCCAAATAACCACCAGTATTGGCTATTTTTCTGACTAATGTTATACCTATTGAAGTACCAAGATATATACACATACACACACACACACACATAGAGAGAGAGAGAGAGAGAGCGCCAGCATTGTGATGTGGCTATGATCTTCTACTTGAGAAGTCAGCATCTAAGGCTTTTGATATGGGTGCCACTTTGAGTCTATCCCAGGTACTCAGGCCTCTGAACCTATATGGAAGATATGAGAGAATCTCCAGACTCCTGGATTGTCTAGTCAAGTGCTTGCTGTTGCAACCATTTGGAGAGTGAACCAGTGAACTGAAAACTCGCTCTCTGTTTCCAGCCCCTCTGCCTTTCAGATTTATAAAAATAAATCTTGGGCCCGGCGCGGTGGCGCAAGTGGTTAAAGGTCCTCGCCTTGCACGCCCGGGATCCCATATGGGCGCCGGTTCTGATCCCGGCAGCCCCGCTTCCCTTCCAGCTCCCTGCCTGTGGCCTGGGAAAGCAGTTGAGGACAGCCCAAGGCTTTGGGAACCTGCACCCGCGTGGGAGACCCGGGGGAGGCTCCTGGCTTCGGATCGGCATAGTATCGGCCCGTTGCGCTCACTTGGGGAGTGAATCATCGGACGGAAGACCTTCCTCTCTGTCTCTCCTCTCTGTATATCCGCCTTTCCAATGAAAAAATAATAAAAAAATAAATCTTTATAAAAAAAAATAAATCTTAAAATTGAATTTATTTTCCTATTAACTTGAAAATGAAAATTTCAGAGATGAGAGCCAGAGTGAGCGATTTTCTATCTCTCTTACTTTCTAGATGGCCACAAAGTCCCAGCCCAGAAGGCTAGAACTCCATCCATGTCTTGCACATGGTGGCAGGCCCCTAATATCTGGGCCATTTTCTGCTGCTTTTTCCAGACTGTAATGGTTTATTGGATCAGAAGTGGGGCAGCTGGGATATGAAGTGCCACACACATATGATGGAAGCATAACAAACGGCAGATGTAGTGGCTAAGCCACTAAGGTAGCTCACATCATTTTTTAACATTTTAATTAACCATTATGTAAATTGTTATATGAAAAAATGAGCCAGTAATTACTTGGGATCGTTGTATCTTGACACATAATGCCATGAAGCTGATCACTAATCAGGATTAAGTCTGGTTTTATTCTTTCTAAGATTATAGTTGACGTATGTATGACAAAAGCCATTAAACTTATTTACGTGACAGTGAGAATCATGGCAAGATGATGGCTCAATGTCTAAATCCTCACCTTGCTAGCACTGGGATTTCATATGAGTGCTGGTTTGTGTCCTTGCTTCTCCATTTCTCATCCATGTCCCTGTTTGTGGCCTGGAAAAACAGTAAAGGATGGCCCAAAACCTTTGGACCCTGCACCCTCCTGGGAGGTCTGGAAGAAATTCTTGTTTCCTGGCTTTGGACCAACTAAACTTTGGCCACTGAGGCTTTTTGGGGAATGAATCAGTGAGTGGAAGAACTTCCTCTCTGCCTATTTCTCTATATGTTTCCTTCAAACGAAAATAAATAAGAGTAAAGCCAATATTATGTGGAGTAAAAATTTATGAAACTGGAAATCCACCTGCATTTTTACAAAATTACATACATGTAACATAAAAGCTACATAGAAATATTACATATATAGCCAATAATTTAATGTAAGTTTTAATGATACTGACTTAGAAATTGGTACACAGATGGCAAGACATGATTTGTTCACTTCTAAAATTATCTAGACAAGTACAGAAAATTAGTGTTATATTTAACTTAAAATTCCTATGAAAGAATTTTAAAATATTTTCTAAGTTGACTTCTTATACATAATTGCAAATTAGAACCTATTTATCTCCTGTTGCATCTGAGGGTGTGCATTTGCAGCAAGCTGGGAGGGACTCAGAACACATGCTCTGCCATGGGATAATGGGCATCCTTAATAATTGCATAACCACTTCATTCAACACCCAGCTCCTAATAGTTCCTGGTTTTCTTCAAGATAGTTATATTTCAATTTGTAATGGACACCACCTAGCTTTGCTTCATTAATTAGAAACTTTTCTGAAAAGCAGCCTTCCCTTAGGAATATTTGTAAGAGGGAATCAACTATAAATGTCAACAGGTAAAACATTTAGCACAGGGGAATGGCTGTCTCATTCTGGTGGAGGTTTCTGGGAAGAGGTCCAAGCAGTTATTCTCTGATCTACCCTATGGCTGTGAGCACTAAATGACTTAATGCATTCCAAGCACCATGCACAAAGTAAGTATGCAACAAATGCCTTGCCAAAACAATGCAGTATTTTGTGACCAAATTAAAGCTCATAGAGGTTAATTTCTTTTAGAAGTCCGTATGTCAGCACATTTGTTTCTATGCATACTAGAGAAGTTAAAACTGTTTTGGAAAGTAAAATTCTAAGATTGATTATTTTCATGGTAAATTTTTGAAATGCATGCATATGAAAAGTCGTTAGAAAATTCATGGACAGTGTGTGTGATGGATGAATTATATATGTTATCTCGAATTCTTTACCTATTTTTGAATTCATTTTACCATGCAACTTATAAAGTCTCTTCCTATATCTAGTCAGTATAGGCACAGTAAAATGGAATGGCCATACTTATTAGTGGCACTGTATTTCTGTTAGATAATATTGATTTTTCATTTGATTTTGTGACTTTTCCCCCTCTGTGGCTATTCTATGTCTTCTTTTTCACAGAGTGTGTTTAAGTGAGGTCTCCCATACCGTGCTTCACAATTGATTCTTTTAACCTTGGTTCAACACGCTATTTATTCCTATTACACCTCATCTTCTCAGCTGTAGCTCATCTCTTTAACCTACTGAAAATGTGTCAAATCCAGCATTTCACTGTTCTTCCCAAGACTGATTTAATTCACAAACCTCATGAAGTGGTCATCTCTATTTTCACCTCAGTCAAGGTTAAGCATATAGAAGACATTTTGGATAACTGAGATCACATTATACTGTACATTATATCATTTGACTAGAATTTTGTAGATATGGAATTATAGTCAATTTACTGATCCTTAAAAGCCAAACTAGAGTTTATTCAGGCTGTCAAAAGCAGATTAAGTTTGTTCAGTTGGAAATATACATCCTTCCAGTCTCTTATGTAATAGTTTTTATGATATAGGCTAGAAAAGTCCACGTATCACTCAATTTTTATTAATCATGAGGCAACTATCAGATATTCAGGAATTACTTACATAACATGCTCCTCATTTTCTCCTTCTCATATTATAATGAGTAGTTAGCTTTCAAAACTGTGGTACTAGTGTGAAAGAGCATACATGTTTTCATCAATTTCTAATCACTGGTTATTTGCTTGATAAATCCAGAGTGTCTAATAGGGGCCAGCCCTTTTTATAGATCTTGTGAGTCTAAAAAGGAGTAAGACACAGGGTCTAGTCTTTACACATAAGTTCAAAGGTAAGGATTGAAATAAAGATGTGAATTAAAGGCATTGTGATTTAAAATTGAATTGTGATTATATCTGGGATCTCTGGAAAAAGAGTCAAACTGGTAACAGATTTAGAAATGGATTTAAGAGTGTGTAAAAAATCAAGTCCTGCAAAGAAGAAGGGGAAAGAGGGGACCAGAACTGTGGTGTAGCAGATGCAGACAGCGATCTCCAGCTGTCATCTAAGTCTGTTCCAGCTCTCAGCTAATGCACCTGGAAAAGCATCACTAGATGGCTGAAGTGCTTGGGCCTCTGCATTCATGTGGGAGATCTGTAAGAATCTCTGCGCTCCTCTCAGCAGCATGGCCCAGCCTTGACAAACATGGTCATTTGCGGAATGAACCAGAGAATGGAAAATTCTCCCTTCCAATCTCTTGCTCTCTTTGTCAGTCTCTCTTTTCCTCTCTAAATGTGCTTTAAATAAATGGAAGTGCCATTAATTAAAAAAGAAGAAGATAAATGCTTAAAAATTCCATGTGGTAGCTTTATCAGAGTTGAGCAAAACTAGTAAATTATGAAATATTAGGTAAAGGATTTGGGGAGTTCATCACCTGAAGGTAGCAATGATTTGTGATGCTAATAGAGTATTATGAGATGAACTCATAGATTTCCTTAAAACATTTGAATTTTCTTAAGTTTTCAAAAATGGAAGTTTGGATTATTTTAATCATGAAAGTATTATTTATGTTGAATTAGCTATTTTGGTGACATTTTAAAATTTTATTTGATCATGCACTCTCAAAAACAGTATATAGGGCCTGGAGTTTTAGCATAGTGGTTAAAGTCCTTGCCTTGAATGTGCCATGATCCTATTTGGGCAGTGGTTCTAATCTTGGAAGGCCTGCTTCCCATCCAACTTTCTGCTATGACCTGGGAAGCAGTCAAGGACAGCCCAAAACCTTAGGATATTACACTTGAGTGGGAGAACCAAAAGAGGCCCAAGGCTCCTGGCTTTGGATTGGCTCAGCTCCTGCAGTTGGGGCCACGTGGGAGTGAATCAATGTATGAAAGGTCTTCCTCTTTGTCTCTCCTCTTTTCTGCATATCTGACTTTCCAAAAAAAAAAAAAAAGCAATCTTTAAAAAAAAGCCATATAAAAACTGCTGTGTCCCAGGTCAATTTTTCATGATACATTTGAAAATTGTAGCATTGAGTATGATTTGAAAGTCTGTCCTGAGAATGGTGGGATTCACAATGCATAAGGTTTACTGAATTTTATAATCAAACCTGTGTTGGATAGTATATTACAGTATTATCTTTGCACATACCCGGTTAATTGGAAGATCCAGGAACTTGAGGGTAAAACTGAAAAGACTGTGATGGATGTTATTAAAGAGAGTGATGCTGCTGAGTGCCTTTCTCAGGGAAGTGATGTGATTAGAGTAGTTCTTTGGAAAGATTGATTTTACATTTGTACAACATATGGATTAAGTTTGGTAGGCAATCCAATTGCAAAAGGAAGCCAAGATTCACTAATGGAATTGCAGGAAGGGAAGAAGCAGATAGAACAAGGCTTTGGAAGTTAGGGGAAACATGATGAAAGAGATGGATACATAATTACAATAAAGGTATTGGGAAAATAATGTGGTGACTAATTGTAACATATATAAAACAAAGGTGACAGGGATTTCAAAGAGCTAAGCATCAGACATTATTATTCATTTGGATGTGCTTGCGTCTTTCCATGGTATTTTAATTTCTGAACTATTTAATTCATGAAGTATTCCTAAAGATTTAATGCATTCCAGATACTATATTGAAGATTGCATGCATGCAGATTTTCATGTCTACATTTATGTATGTGATAACTTAAAATTTCATAATTTTCAGGCAATTTAGAAGATACAATAAGAATGTACATGAAAAAGTGTTCAGAAAGAGACTGCAGACTCTAATCATGATATTTCTTTAAATTAGATGAGAAAACAAGAGGCCAACAAAAAAGCAAATTTTAAAAGAAGGGTAAAAGTTAGTATATCTTAAAACATTATATGGTAGGGAAAGATAGCTGTGGGCTAATGTGTTGATGTTCTTATATTTGTGCTAAAAATGGATTTTTAAAAAATTGTATTTTCATAAGATGAATCAATTTCATATATTTCTCCATACACATGGAGGAACAAAATGATACTTCACACCGTAACCTCTCTCCTTATTATGGTCTCCTCTGTCTCTTCTTTCTTTACCTTTTTTTTTTTAACTTTCACAATGGCATAAGTTTAGTTCCCTTAATAATCACAGGCTTAAATTTAACTTTCAGTTAGGTTTAAAAAAAGTAAGCTCAGCAATAGTAAGTTAAGAAAAAGAAAGCATTTACTCATGGGTATATATTAAAACTCTAAACATAATCAAATCTCAAAATGTTACTTTTATTCCTATAGGATACTTTTTTTGTTTTTGCGTTGTAGTTGAGCTACACAGACAAGGAAAAATGTAGTTTTGAATTGTGTTCGTTTGCGTCACTGAGCGTAGTGATTTCTAGTTATGTTTATTGTATTGCAAAATACATGGTTTAATTTTTTTATCACTTGAGTGTATCATAGATTCCACATTTTCCTTATCTAGTCATAATGGGTGAACATCTGAGTTGATTCCATATGTTCATTATTGTGAATTTAACTGCAAAGAAAGCAAACCAAAACAAAACACTTGGAATAACAGATAGCTTTTCCTATACTGATTTTATTATGTTTGGGTTTTATGGTCGATATATTTTCAACTCTCTGTGGACTCTCCATACCATCTTCTGTATTGGTTATATTTGTGTTTTTTGTTTGTTTGCTTGCCTGCTTGCTTTTTAATTATGGATTCGTTCTGGGTTGAGGTGAAATCCAATTTTTTTTTGCATTCTCAAAATGCTTGGGAGCCTGCGCATTTTTTTTCATGTATCTCTTTAGCATTTGGATATTATTATTTGAACAGTCCCTACTTAACCAATCTATGCTTAATCTGTTTGACTTTAAATGCACTGAGCACCAAATGAAGGATTGGCAATCTTACTAAAGGCAAACAGCATTTATATACTTTCTTCTTTTTTTTCCCTTTTGAATCAAAACTGTCTCCATATATTTATATTGTGTGTATTCAAAAGGCCATAAGCTCTCGCTGCTGCCTCTTTCCCAACTTCCCTTATAACGAATATTTTTTACATAATCCACAATGCTCTTTTTAAATTTTAACAAATAAAGTGCATTTGACTTTTACCTGCCATTCATGTTTTTTATCAAGATATGCGATGGACATTATAACCTAAAGTTGTGTTTTTAGAATTATTATAAATCAAAATATGGAGTTGCTCCTTTTCCTTTTTTTATTTTCTCCTCTTACTCTGCTTCTGATATAATTATTTCTAAATATGCTATCTATATTAGAAACTAGAATTCCAATTACAATATTATATAGAACCTGAAATAATGTGATAGATTGATGCAACACACAAAGAAATATTCATAGCTATTTTTGACATTGAGAGATTAACATATAAGGATCTCAAAGTTTAATTAATCAAATTGTCTCTAAAGGAAATTATATAAATATTGTTCAACAGAAAATATTTATATAAATGATGAAATATGAAATGCATTTATTCATACATTTTGGTTATATTTTTTTCTCTGTGTCTCTTTCACACACATACGCACACAAACTCATCTTCCTTGACTTCAAATAAAATGTTTCTATTACATAGAAAATACACAAGTAAACTATTGCTTTAAATATACAGTTTTGAAGGATGTCATTCATTGTAAATATTTATGATAAATATTGATTTATGCATACTTTCTGAAAAACTGAAGATATAAATGTGAAAACATCGTAATAACAATATCTTAAGCAATGTAGACTGTGATTTTTCCTTTATTTCTAATTCTTACATTTCTAAGTATTGACAATTAACATCACCTGGGTCATATGTCCTTGTGTTTGCTCTTCTATAGATGTGCCATCAAGTCCCTCTGGAGTGAAAATCATAGAACTGTCACAGACCATGGCGAAGGTTTCTTTCAATAAACCCGACTCCCATGGAGGCGTTCCTATTCATCACTACCAAGTGGATGTCAAAGAGGTGGCATCAGAAACGTGGAAAATAGTACTCTCCCATGGAGTTCAAAGTGAGTTCAGAATCTGTTGGTTAATTCAATGTGACCTTCACTATAACTGCGATTATTTTTTTTCTTTTCCCTGAATATGTTTTTTTCTTTCTTTCAACGAAAAATTGAGAGAAAGAAAACACAAAGTTGAAAGAAAAGTTCCCCATTCTTAGTGAATTCAGAGATTTTGCAGAACCACTTACATTCAAATTGATGAGAAAAAAATACTTTTAAAAAAATTTTGTTGCTGAAATGGCAGTGCTATGTTTTTACACGTTATGACTAGAATTTTAAAATTTATGCTCCTTTTTCTATTATTAACACTTCTTGATAATAAATGTGAAAGTCAAACTGTAAATAATGAATATTTTGTATAAGGAAACTTCAAGCTTATGTAAAATGTATAATATGAAAACCCATGCAGGATTTTTAACTATGAATCCAAATGCTTTGAATATCAGTTTTTCACAAAGTTGCTGAAATGTGCTTGAATGTGTTAATGAGTAAGGTACAATTTTTTTTTCTTCAATCTAATATTTATTTCAACATGAATATAATCTATCGTTTTCTGAAAACCAAAGTTTTGTCATACATAATACTAGGTTCAGTAATAATCTAACTGCCCAGTTTTGAAAAGTCAAAAAAAAAAAACAAATATTTTTATAAAAGTAGAGATTTATTAGGTAATGAAAATACGTTTCTTGATTACAAGGAGATGAAATTAAAGTAGGAAATAATAGAAAATTACTGGTGTTTTGCACTTACTTAAGAAGGTACAAATATCTTGAGAGATTCACAAAGGAAGTGCAAGACAGTAAGGAAATTAATTCTTCATGTTGTTCCTCCTGGGAAGACTGCCTTGATCTGAAGATAGATCACACAGTAAGGTTCAAAAAAAGGCATGTGCCAAAAAAAGAGAGAGAGAAAAGAAAGAAGAAGATGACGAAGAAGAAAATGAAAGTAAATAAGCGGGCCCAGCATGATGGCACAGTGTTAAGGTCCTCACCTTGCACGCCCAGGATCCCATATGGGTGCCAGTTCTATCCCAGCAGCCCCACTTCCCTTCCAGCTCCCTGCCTGTGGCCTTGGAAAGCAGTCGAGGACGGCCCAAAGCTTTGGGACCCTGCACCCGTGTGGGAGACCCGGAAGAGGCTCCTGGCTTCGGATTGGCATAGCATGGGCCATTGCGCTCACTTGGGGAGTGAATCATCGGATGGAAGATCTTCCTCTCTGTCTCTCCTCTCTGTATATCCGCCTTTCCAATAAAAAATAATAAAAAATAAATCTTTAAAAAAAGGAAAGGAAATAATTACCAATACCAGTGAAAATGGAGACAGCAGAAATGAAATAATTTTAGACCCACCTATGTTGACAGCTGCTTGCCCATTTTGCCTTGAGAATAACTATTGGTTTTGCTTTTGAAAGTCAGTTGTTAACCACTGACTGTACACTTCAAATAAGGTCTCCAAGCAGGTGTGCACCTATTATTTCTTTTCCTGATGAAATACTTTGGATTATATTCTCTGTGGTTATGTTGTGTGGGTCAGGAGAGGGTTGTTTTGGTGTGTGTTCAAAACGAATGTGGGGGTATCATCAAGTATTATACCGAAGTTAGTAACGTTGTTATTGGAAGATTCTCTGTTTGATTTTGTTTCCTTTAGGGACACAAAACAAAAGAGGATGGGAGGTGACTGGGAAAAATAGAAAAGTAAAAACAAAGAGAAAACGGGTTACGTTACATTGCAGGACAACCAAAGTTTATGAATGCAAACAAGCGTGAAGAAAATAATGTCAAATTCAGACAGTCTAGAGATTACCTGTTCCACAACTGTACATCCTACCTACCCTACCCATCCCTCCTGGAGTAGAAGGGTCATAGATTTCCGAAAACTCAGAAAGTTTTAACAGCATGCAGACTTGACAATGATCTAATCCAGCCTAAGGTGAACAAGTTCAAAGGCATAACTTCGTATCCCTTGTATTCTTCAGTCATAATACATTTCTGTTCCCTTAAGATTTATACATAGTATCAAAGAACATTGATCATTTACAAGAAATTGGTGACCAAAAGTTGGAATACTCAGCAACTGTGTGATAATTGCATTCTTTAATTTTTCATGTATTTTCCATATATAATGCAAGAACAATGTCTGAGTCAGAAACTTCTTCTGTGTGCCTAGAATATCAGTAAGGGAAGACTTATCTCAAACAGTGACTCGTTTTTCTGGGCAGTGAAGCAAACATACTCAAGGTCCCATGGCTGACATTTTTTCTCTTTTGATAAAAGCATGTGCTCAGTGCTTCTTTCCCTATATTTCCTTGTCTGTTTCTTTTAAAAAAATACATAATACATAATACATGTAAAATTAGTTTCTTAAATCAGTTTATAGTCCTATAGCTACTTTATTCACATGATCTCAGTGCTTTTCAACTTAATCAAGTAACTGCTATAAGCGATTGCTCCAAATTAATCGGAATTTATGCTTAAAAAACATCAGTTGAGTCACACAAAGCTTAATATTTATAATGCCTGGTTATCACGCAAAGATTGTCTCTAGCCCTCATGACAGTTGGACATTATCTTAATGAGCTTAGATGCAACATGAAATGTATCCCCTCCTAAGGAGTCAACAATTACTTTTTGATAAGCCATGAAAAAGCCAGTCTCTCTCTGTCTCTCTGTCTCTCCTCTCTCTCTGTCTCTGTCTCTCTCTCTCTCTCTCTCTCACACACACACACATGCACACACATGCACACACACATGGAGAGAGAGAGAAGGGGTGCTGGAGAGAAATTATTTGCTAAATACCTAAATTGCCACAGTATTCAAAGCTGGGCCAAGCCATATCCAGGAACCAGGTACTCCATGGTTATCTCACATGGAGTTTTGCAGGACACATTGACTTGAATCATCTTTTGCTTCTGTTGCAGAAACATTAACAGGAAACTAGATCACAAGTGGAACAGCTCAGACTAGCAGTGACACTTAGATATGGGATGCATGTACTGGAAGCAATGACTTAACCTACTGTGTCACATTTTGGCCTCTCTCTTACTTTTCTAGTGTTGCACTCCTCTTAGGCTTTTGCTGCCATCTGGGCTGTCTGTGGCGTTGGCATCTAAGTAGCTGACTCTGATGGATATTAGTAAGTTTTGGGAAACAGAGTTTACTCAGATGGGATTCCCTCATGCCTGACCTTAAGACCTCTCTCACCCTGTCTTCAGTAGGTTTTATGTTAGGTGTGATTATGAATACATGACTACAAGGAAACTGGAAATAAAATAACGAGTCAGACAAAATAGTAGTGGGGGGGCATACATTTGGACCACTGGATATTCTAGGATACAGATGTCTGACATTTATTCTCTCATTTCTAGAAAAGACATAATATTTTTGAAATAACACAATAAAGCTATTCAACACAATATGAAATGTATGCTTTAGAAATGTGAAATGTAGTTTAAGTGATCAAAATGCTTTTACTATAACCTGACAACAGTCATTTGATATTTGGACTATATAACAAGGTATCATTTAAACCTTCTACCTTCAGCACAATTATTTTCACTATTGCTTCACTGTATCACTGTGTTCTTTAAAGTGATATACAGATAACTTAAATCATACATTTCCCATCAGACAGGCTTAGAACTATTAAAAAGTGACTAGAATTACTCTTATCTTGAAACATCTACAACAAACTCTTAGTCACTTCTTGTGAGAATTATTCTCAAGTTCTCTCTTTTCCTAGACTGTATAATAGGCAAGTAATACTGTGTTTAACACATTACATTGCAGTGTACATATTTTGAAATACATTATCATATCTCATTAAGTTTATTATAACTCTCTTTCTATATCTTAGTTTATGATTTCCATAAATGGACCAGATAGTTCTGTTCATCTCAGTGTTTCAAGTAATGAGCACAGGTTAGACTTGAGTGAATATTGAGATTCAGTAGTGGAAATTTATGATTCATTCTTTATCAAATGAATCCGTTGTAAATCACTTTTTGATAAACTGTATGGACGGAAGTAGATTCTAAACCAGGTACGGGATCTAATGCATATCATAGTGATCGGTACCACTGAATAGAGGGAAGAAAAGCAGAATTGGGAAAATGTGTGTGTGTGTGTGCATGTAATACAGTATGGCATTGCATTTCTTTAATCAAGAAACTGAATGATTTTGTTGTGATTCTCCCTTGGGGCTTGCTACTAATACACATAACATTTCTTTCCATTTCTAATACGTGAAAGAATATCACTTTTATTGGCACAGTATTGTGATCTAAATGATAGAACTTTTTTACTCCCTGCTTGTGTATGTTCAGGGTCTCTTTGTTGCTGCTATCCTAGATCATTTGGTAAACTGTTGTATCATTTAGTGAATGGGCTGCTGTTCTTTTCAGTACCTCACAGGAGTCTTTAAGCTCACATAAACTAGTATATATCACATATCTTTCCACACTAGTGGGCAAATACCGCTGGTATTCTATGCTTTGGGAATCTACTGATCCAGACATAATTATCTAGTAACAACCTCAAAGATGGAATTAAAACTGTAAGGTGAGCAATATAGGAAGCTGGGAATCAATTAAGCAGAAGGGAAGTTGCATTGAAATCTATGTTAAACAAGTTGGCTGAAGGCAAATCTTTAGTGAAATTTGTTTATACAATGTTTTCTCTGAGCTAAAGTAGTAAGCTGTTTGCATGCTTGGTTTCTTGTTTGCCAGGTTTTTCTGTAAATGATGTGCCATGATTGAGACAGTTCTTTCCACGAAAGGCAAATTTTTATTGTTTATTGACTGTGAATCCTCCAGCTTTGTGACTGTAATTTGAACTAAAATCCCTATATCTGGCACAACACAGATATAAAACTACATGCATGTTGTAAAAAATTTAAATTGTTCCAATTCCACAGTTCCTTCATTTTTTTTTAAAGATTTATTTATTTTTACTGGAAAGGCAAAATCATAGGGAGAAGCAAAAACAAAGATTTTCTATTTTTTCATTTATG